ACGAAGATGAAGAAGTAAGGAGGCTGGCGTGAGGTGGAGGGTGGATATCAGCGTGAACCAATTTGAAGAGACAGAAGAAACAGCCCCTGAACTCCTGAGGTCTGGTAGGGCAGTTGGGGAATGTCGCAGACTGAACATGATGAGAAGGGACAGCAACCAGGGCGCATTCTCTTCTGGGTCAGGGAGACTGCCTACTCCTTTTCTTTTTTTTTAAGGATTATGATTTACAAAGTTATTGATAGTTGAGTTTGACTGAGTTTTAGGCATAAAATATTTCAACGGCACGCTGACAACTGCACGCTGGACTCCACGGGATGTCAAAAGAACGCCTGGCTGCCCACCTACGAGATGGTTGGACTTCTTCGTCAAGACCCTGAACGAACGCTTTGATGCTCTTCGTGTTCCTGGAGCGAGCAGAAGCCATTGGGCTACACTAGCATGCGACAGGGACGAACGGAGACATTCCTGACGCCCGTTCAAGCAAACTGATGAGCAATGGGATGACAAGCGATACAAGTGAATATTTCAACACCAGTCACCACCAACGTCAACTTCCCTCCATCATCTTCCCTCCCTACCCCAAGTCCACCCCATTCCCGCCTGTGTACTCGACAGGCACCTTACAAAATTTCAGTGGTTGCAGCTGAGATCTCATGTTTTCAATGTCATTGAGTCTGTATTTTGGATATACGGTTATACCACTCACTCATATCACCGGTGTAACTGAAGCCCTGAGCCTGTTCACCCATTCCTACCCATTCTCTTCTTCCCCCCTAGATTTCTCTCCTTCTCTGACTTTCTCCTCTCTAAACACTGGGATCAAGGGTGATCTAGGTATTCCCCCCTTTTACTACTGTGCACTTCCTCATCCAGTGGTCTGTATTCCGTAGCTTCATTTTCCTTGGTAAATCAAGCCAAGTCACCACCTCTATCTTTCTTTTCCTCCCAAATAATTGGAGTTTGTAGTAAGGTCTACTAACAGAAATTAGCTGGGCAATCGAAGCTGGAAGACTTCCTGCTGGGAAAAATGCATTAAGTATTCTTAAAAGCCAGTGGATCTCTTTATAATCTTGTCATATTTGTAAACAGAAATAACTACACTTCTTTATATATGTACACACACACAAACACACACACGCACACACTCACACAGCCCTTGCATGAGTCCTAGGCATATCTGGGACAAGCTCTGCTCCCTACCCCTCCACGGGGAAGTGCTCTTGTGCCCCAGTTTGGAGATCCCATCTCCACTCAAAACTTGCCAGTCAGAAACATGGGAGCCATTTACCTTTCAGGCTATCAGGCCCCCTGCCCTTGCCGTTCTACTCTATCTCTTACTGCCTTTTCTCCTCTCTACTGTTAGCTTCAAGTTTGACATCACTCACCCGGTTCATACAAGAGGCTCAGTGCTATTCCCTCAGCCTCTAGGCCCTTGTCATTTCCACATGTCTTGGGAGTGACGGTTCTGTAACAGGAATCTGATCTTATTACTCTGTCTCCAATAACACCAGTGGCCCTTCACAGTCTAATGGAGTATAAGAAACTTCTCTCTCTCTCTCTCTCTCTCTCTCTCTCTCTCTCTCTCTCTCTGTCTCTCTCTGTCTCTCATTTTTTGGGCCATATCTGGCGGTGCTGAGGAGTTGGGAGAGAATGTGGGTCATTCCTGCCGCCATTCAGGGAGCTAAGTCATGTTGGGGACTGAGTTCAGACCTCTGACATGCAGCCATGTGCTTAGCCAGCTGAGCTCTCTGGCCCCTTATGCCTCACCTTTAGTCTCCACAGAACTGATAATTATGGAGTTTGCACAACTCTTCACAGTCACCCTACTGTGTAGCCACATCTGACCGGCAGGACTCAAAGGTCTGTATATCTATAACTTTTGGTTTGGGTTGCCCCCAGAGCAAACCCGGAAACAGAGAGATGGGCTCAAGAAGTTTACACATGAGGAGGCAGAAAAGGCACATGCTAGGGGAAAAGGCAGCTCAGATAGAGAAGGGAGCACCAAATACAGGGTGTTGGGAGGATCTTCCCAGGATGGGAGATGCATGCTGAAAGTAGACTATAGACAGAACATGAAGGCCACTCAATGCCTCTTTTGCAAACCACAGCACCCAAAAGGAGAGAGAGAACAAAAGGGAATGCCCTGCCACAGAGGCAGGGTGGGATGGGGGGTAGGAGGGATACTGGGATCAGTGGTGGTGGAAAATGGGCACTGGTGGAGGGATGGGTACTCGATCATTGTATAACTGAAACCCATGCACAAAAATTTGTAAGTCTACAACTGTACCCCATGGTGTTTCACTAATAAATTTTTTTTTTTAAAAAAAGGAAGAATGGGAAGGAAAAAAGAAAGGTTAAGTATGTTTTGTGAATGGACGTCTGAATTTTGCTAATGGACTTCTAATATTATCACCTGGGCCTCTGAGAGAGACAGAACACACCAGAAGATCATCCTGTTCATGGTTAGATGTTGGTTGTTTATCCCCCAATTTATTGCCTGGAGGGTTATTCCTGTAGGAGCTGACTTCTCTGCATTTCTAGCATGTAGCTACGTTTCTGGAAATACCTTCCGGCAGAAAAATACTAGAAGCCATTGGCAGGTAATCTTCCCATGGCTCAAAGTCATCACCAGCCTGTCCTCTATAGTAGTGAGCACACACCTGGCTCCCCTCCACCCAACTCTTCCCTCCCTCCACTTGGCTCTTCCAGATCTTTCAAGATACAATTCACTGAGCTTTCCACTTCTGTTTCTATGTATATTCTCTTCTGCCACAATTACTGGATTGCAGTTATGAGTTTATGTCTCACTCCACACCTGGCTCTGGGCTCCCTGAGGGCAGGATTTTTTGTATTTAGGTGTCTGGTGCAGGACAGATGATTTAGGGTCCACAGGACAAGGACATGACTACGTATAACAAAGAGGATCTCACTTTCCGTGTAAGTAACTGAGAATATCTCCAAAGAGGTACCAAAAAAAATTGGAATATTTTGGAAAATTTGGAATACCCCACATTTGGAATAGAATAAAACCTATGGAGGATGTAGGAGAAGCAACGAGGCAGAAATTGGTATCCTAATTGGAGCTGGTTGGTTTAGCTGCTGTCCATATCACAGCTGAATGGCTGTGAAGGACCTTTAAGCTTCTCTGGAGAGCAGTGTGTTACCCAATCTGTGTGTGAGTGACAGCTCCAGCTATGCGACAACCACCGAGGAAAACACTTAACATAGAGGTTGATTGCTGGGATTCCAGGTGGAAGTACGGGTGACAAAGACCCAAGATACTGGTTTACAATGCTGTGTACACAAGAGAGCTAGAGTCGGGAGGTATATCTTGGATGCATGGACTGCTTCCAGGGAAGTGACCTGGGCACTGCACACAAGTGAACTGAGCAGCATGGCAGCTCCAAATTGGAGGTGGCAAAGGCTTGTCTGCATCCTGATCTTGTGCTGGGCACAGATTTCACAAACACCTTCTCCTACACTTTCCTCTCTGGGAGGAAGGAGCTGTCTAGACTCTAGGAGGGAACACACTTTCGTCTATTCTTGACTATGGGCCATTCTTGGTTTTCCCGGTACCCGAGACCCTCTTAGTCATCCAAGAAATATAACTGGGATGGGCGTGGGGAAAGGACTGGGCGAGAAAAAGGAAAAAATGTGGGTTTAGGGATCCTATGACTAAAGGTTTAAAAAAATCTAAAATGGGGATGCTCATTTTAGAAAACAGACCCTCAAAATTCATTACACCACTCCTAAGATGGACACTGGTATCCTGGGCACACTCACGGTCAAGGTCCTCCCGTTGTTCATCTATTTGCTCGAGTGGTCCCAGTAACGTCTCCATTGTGAGACTTGTTGTTACTGTGTTTGGCATATTGGATACGTCACGGAGAGCTTGCCAGGCTTTGCCGTGCAGTTGAGATACTCTTGATAGCTTGCCGGGCTCTCCGAGAGGGGCGGAGGAATTGAACCCAGCTGTACCGGGCCGGCTGTGCGCAAGGTAAACGCCCTACCGCTGTGCTATTGCTCTGAAATGAATAAATAATATTTCCCTCTTTGTACATTTCAAATAATTAGGTTCTTTTTTAAAAAAAAGACAAATCCCTAAAAAATACATAACCTGTACACAGAGCTATTTAGAATTGTTAAAAAGATTATTTCACTGAGCTGAGGCAGCAGCTCAAAGGGTTGTGGGTACAAGCCTGGCATCACTGGGTCTGATAACAGAACCGCCTAGCCTGCCTCAGGTCTTGTTGGGAGTGGCACCAGGGCCCTGAAGCACTGCTTGGGAGGAAGTCCCCAACCTCCAGCAAAAACCAAAATAATCTTATGGGATATCCTCAACAAGCCCGAGGGAGATTCCCTATTCCTAAGTACTGAGGCACTATTGTGAAAGACTGTGCTAGGAGCAGAGTAATTCTCCTCTTTGAAGATGCACGTTTATGAGGGTGGTCTGTGGGGTGTGGTGGGAGATGGTCTAGACAGTCCAGCTGGCCAGAAGTCACACCCACGGGTTTTGTGTGACCTCAGAAAGACACCGTGTAGACAGCTCCAGTCACTGATACATGGGGGGATATTTGGAGGAAGGAATTGGGGGAAATAGGATTGGGAGGCTGGAATGGAAAGCACTTGGGCCTGAGTGCCACGAGGCGGTGCCTGGCAGTACCTGGGCCTGCCTTGATCTGGTTGAACTCTGTCATGGACTAGCTGGTTGCCCCAATGGGAAAGTAACCAATCACTTGGTTTCTCTGGATTTTAGGAGGAGGACTGGACGAGAAGATCGCTTCCAGCCTATGACGTTTATGACATCATTGAGAAAAACAGGCTCTGGCAGGAACAAGGAGACCTACAAGGCAAGTCTCCATATGGAAGGTGACAAGGCAGCGGAAGGGCGGAGAAAGAACAACTAAGATTCCCGCATCTCCATGAGGTGATGCAAAACGACCGGAACGCAGGAGGCGTTGGGAAGCTGAGCAGAGATGGGCAAGCGGTAGCGACCTTACCTTCCGGTCACAGCAAAGCACAGCGCGCACATGCCGCGCAGGAGGCCCACGGCGTGCTGCAGGAAGGAGGCCATCTTGGGGTTCTCATCCACGGGGCCCTGCACCGACAGGAAGCAGCCGCACAGCTTCTCCACGAGCCCGATGTTCACCATGTAGCTAGAAACGCGGAGAAACCGGGTTAGCGGCCTGTAAGGCTTCTGCATCTCCACCCTCGAAGGCCAACCGTACCCAGGTGATGCTGGGCCCTCTGGGGGAAAACGAACACAATGCAGGTTCGAGTTAAGCATCTCGAGCAATATTTTCCTTAGATTTATAGTCCTGAATAATTTACTCTTTCTTTATTTTTGCTTTTTGGGTCACACCCGGCGATGCTCAGGGGTTACTCCTGGCTCTGCACTCAGGAATCACTCCTGGCGGTGCTCAGGGGACCATATGGGATGCTGGGAATTGAACCTGGGTCGGCTGCAGGCAAGGCATACACCCGACCCGCTGTGCTATCGCTCCAGCCCCCAATTTGCTCTTTTTTTTAACAGATATTTTTTCTCCCCAATTTTATTTTAGGCACGTGGTTTACAGTACAGTTGATAAGACTCCATGCACAACACTGTCTCTCACCACATGCTTCTCCAGTGTCCACTTTCCTATCCCCGTGGCCCCTTCACACCTTTACTTTCCCTTTCCTCCCCTGTGTTAACTTCCCATCAAAGTCTCTTCTCAGTTCTGTTGTCTTTGGGTATTTGTTATTCGCCTTGTGTTTATTTATATTCGAGAGAGACCATTCTCTGTCTCTCTCCTTCGGATTGACTTCACCCAGCATGATCCTCGCCAGACCCATTTAACGGATTCCCATCTTTCTTCTTCGGCTTATTCTGACATCATTTTTTTCAAGGAAGCTGCAAGAAATCTATGATCTGATCATTCTTGGTAGTCGAAGAATTCTGACAATAGTTGAAATGATTTGTAATGACCTCTACATTCTCAAAAAGCGGGAGCCAAAGTCCACTAAAATGTTGGGATGCAGAAGGTTAGATGATGTTCCCCAGGCACTTCTGTTATCAATTAAACCTCCAATGCCAACAAGGCTCTCTATTTTTAAAAAACTCCATTCACCATTAAGAGTGTAGCAAACAATGAAAATCTAATTGCTTTCTGTTATGGAAAGGACCAGTCGCCAGAGTTAAAAAGAACATTGAGGAAGTCACTTTCATCTCTTCAGTCCATTAGAGCCGTTTTTTAGAGGTGTTTACTAAGCAGGAACAACAAAAGTAGATCTTTAGCGAGTCCACAGGCAGTTATCACTGGAAATAGGACTTGAACCCTACAGGGACCTTGTATAGAAATCAGTTTAACCTTGGAGATTTTATACTGAGACAGTGCTACTGCATTTGCAGGTTTGAAAAGGATGAGGCAGGAAATAGAGCAATTCTGAAAGTCAACGGGTTAATTTTGAGTATAGTATGTATGTGTAAAAGAACTGATATTTCTGCTTAAACAATCCTCATCATTATTCATTTACCTATGCACATTATTTTTTTCCCCATAAAAGAAAGGAGAATCTGATGAATAACTCATACTTGAAGTCTCTTACAAGTTTATTACCCAGAAGACGCAAAAGAATGACCCTTTTTTCTTTTCTATTAGAAAGTCTATACTCCTGGGCTACTTGGGCATCTCCTACAGATTTTAAATTTGGGAGGTGGAAAAAGATGACCACCAGCTCCATTCTCTTATAATAAAGGAATCACACTGATTGACACTTGCACACACTGATGACCTTATTACAATCTGACTTAATGGAGTTAGACTTTGAAAATTGACTTTTATAATTCTACTTTTTTGCTTCTTTTTGAGTCACACTCGGCAATGCTCAGGGCTTATTTTGGAGTCTGAGCTCAGGAATTACTCCTGGTGAGCTTGAGGGATCATACGGCATGCCAGGGATCGAACCCAGGTTGGCCACGTGCAAGGCAAACGCTCTTCACAATGACTATCCCTCAGCCCCAATTCTACAACTTTACCAAGTGTTTTTTACACTAATCATCCCAGCAAATTGCCACAAGAAGTCCACAAAAGTAAGCAGAGAGAGATTTTTGTTTGAGTCGATCAAGTACATTCTCTCCTATTCCTTTTGGTCCTGGTGGAACTGTTTATTATTGTACCTTCCTGTAACAGCAGCCCCAGCAGAGTCAAAGTATTCGAGGAGGGTACTTGAGCTTAAGGTGAATATTCAGCATTTTCTGTCTGGTCAAGGCCAAGCCTTACCTAGCTACGTCATTGTGTGATCGTGGCCTTTTGGAATCGCAGCCTCATCTTTGCTTTGTTTTTGGACCACAGCTGGCCTACTCCTGGTTCTCTATATAGGAATTAGTCCTGGTGGTTCTTGGGGGACCCTATGGGGTGTTGGGGGTCAACCCAGGTTGGCTGCATACAGTGTAGCTGCTGCATACACCTTACCCACTGTACTATCGCTCCAGACCTAGAGAGCTCCTATTTTTATTTTGTTTTGTGTTTTGTTTGGGGATCATACTAGCTAGTGCCCAGGGCTTACTGTTTACTTTGCACTCAGGAATCGCTCCTGGCAGGCTCAGGGACCCACACATGGTGCTGGGGAATCAAGCCTAGGTCAGTCAGATGCTGTACTATGGCTCTGGCACTGCTGCCTCAAAAAAGATTATTTTTGGAATCAAGAATAATAATTCCTGTGGCGTCCAGTGAATGAGGACAGTCCCTTCATACAACGAATTCCTTTTCTTTCATGATAGAAATGTTTTATGCTTCTTTGTCAGCTCTACTTACGTCTCCTTATTTTGGAAGACCAATTTTTCAACATTTCAATTTTGCTGCCCTCTTCCACATCTTTTGCTTTCTTGCCTGTGATAACTTGTGAGAACCTTTGTCCTACCTTTCTCCTTCTTTTGTGATCGCTGTTTTATAATAAAGTGCTTTCTATCAAGGTCTAAATTACAAATAGTAAACGAACAGTCCTTGGGATTTAGAATTTCAACATACATACAAATCCATGCAGGTATCAATAAAAATAAGACAAAGTACATATTCACCATCACAGAAAGATCCCTTGCTTTCCATTCAATTTCTTCAGCAGAAGTAGCGACTTTAATTTTAATGGTCTTATTTTGTCTTCATATAAATGAAATAATTCTTCTGCTAAGCATAATTATTTTGACACTCATTAATGTTGGCAAAGCGATTTTCTCCTTTTTTGTTGATGATTAATAAAAATCCCATAAATATTTTACATGGTTTATCAATTCTATTGATGAACATGTTGATTAACTAATATTTTTGTTTACTATAAATGAGGCTGTTATAAAACTGAATGGGCATGTAGATATGTGCTTTTATTTCTTTTATATCTAGGAATAGAATTGTTGGGTCATGGCACAGATATATTTAACTTTACAAATGGCTAAGAAGCTCTCCATAGTGGCCATTTTATTGTACACTACCAGTAACAATGTGTCAGATTAACAGTGATTCTAAATCCTGGAGAGTATTTGGCATTAACAATATTTAAAATTCAAAAAAAATTTCATTTTTACAATTGAGTGGATTTTTACAGGAATCTTGATGTCATTTTATTTTGCATTTCTCTCAAAAATACTGAATAATATTAAGTACTGGTATTAAGATACAATTTTTTTGTGATGCATTTGCACTGAAAGAAACCTTTACTGATCTAAGATTGCAAAGACACATTCCCATACTTTAATTAGAAACCTTATGGCTATTGCATTGGTTTAGGTCCATTTAAAATTAATTCTGTGCATGTGAAAGGTTTATTTTCTTCCATATAAATGTTCAGTGTTCCTATACCATTCATTAAAAAGACTTTCCTTTAATTAATTAATTACCTTGATTCCCTGATCAAAAAACTCAATTAATTCACCAGCAGTTCCAGGGGTTTGGGAAAAGAGAGGGATGAAGAGGTAGAACATAGATTTGGCAAATCTATCCCACAATCATAGCAGACACATGTCATTTTTCAACTGTCACAATTCACAGATGATAAAACTTCCAGACTATCCCTAAGGGCCAGAGAGATAGTATTGCAGGTAGGGTGCTTGCCTTGCATATGGCTAATCTGGGTTTAGGCCGCTATGAGTGATCCCTGAGCACAGAGCCAGGAGCTGAGTCCTGAGCACTGCTGGGTGTAGGCCCCCCAAAAAACCATAAACAAAAGAGTAAACCCCAATGTAAAAATTGGCAATCATAATGTGAATACAGGCTCAGTGACTTTGACAAATACACCTGTCTTGTGCAGGATGTTGGCAGTGACGGAGGCTGGGTGTGTGAGCCCAGGAAGTATATGTCAGTGCTCTATTTTCACTCAGTTTCACTATGAGCCAAAAATTGCTTTAAAAATAAAATCTATTGAAAACAAAGCTTACTTGGAAAAGAAAAGAAAATGAATGACTAATTATGGATGAATCTATTTTTAGGCTCTCAATTCTATTTTGACCTACTGCTCTATTTTTGGACTAATCCTTAAAATCAGGCAAGTCCTCTGGATTTATTATTAGTTTTCAAAATTGTGTTGGCTGTTCTAGATCATTCTTCTTCATTCTTTTAACACCTGAGGGCCCGCACCTGTTCTGCAAACTGGTCCCGACCAGCAGTTATAAACCTTTCTACACCTGTGGACCAAAACTGGTTTGTAGATTAGTGGGTGAAGACACTGTTCAAGGTCTTTGGCATTCCAAATAAATTAAAGCCAGCCTGCCAATTTCTGTAAACACCTACTAGACTTGATTAATTAAATTTGTACTGAATCTACAAACAAGATTGTGAAAAATTTATGTTTTAACAACATAGAGTCTTCTGGTTCATCAATGTGACCAATTTATTCTCAATTCTTTATTTTTGTTTGTTTTTTTGGTCCACAACTGGCGGTGCTCAGGGGGTGAGCTTTGTACTTGGAAATCAATCCTGGCAGTGTGCCCCGGGGGACCATGTGGGATGGCAGGAATTGAACTTGGGTTGGCTGTGTGCAAGACAAATGCCCTACCTGCTGCTGTTCTATCTCTCCAGACCCCCGTTATTCTCAGATAGAGAAGGGAGCACCAAATAAAGGGTGTTGGGAGGATCCTCCCAGGATGGGAGAAGCATGCTGAAAGCAGACTATAGACCAAGCATGA